ATTACACTAGTATGGAGGCAGCCTGAATCATGTAGATGTGAACTAATATTTGAGCAACATGGATCTCCTTATGTGGTAGAAACAATGTTTTTTAATCTTTAGAATTAGTATTCATTTATCTCAAGTCTCTTAGTTCTGTAGTTCTAGGCAAAACACATTTGGTGTAATGCTAATATAAATGAATCTGTTCAGGGAATAAAAGGCCATATAAGTGCTAAACCAACCCCCCAAATTTGCTTTATTGCTAAAAGCTCAAATGTTTTCTAAAAATTGTAAGGCCAGCATATAATCCAAAATAGCATAAGGGTTCACCTAAGCACCAGCATATCCCCTCCTCCACCCTCCTGCCCCAGTGAACTGTCTTTTGGTAGAAACCCTGCATTTTCCATTTTCAGGATAATGCATTTTATTGCACCTTTTTCTGTGTAGCTTGGTTTTGGAATGCTATCTTTTTAGGTTGATTTTTCTCTCCCCTCTATTTTAAAGAGCTGTTAAAAGGATACCAGTAGCCTGATATGAAAATTATCTTTTTCAAAAGCTTTGACCTCTTAAGTTATTTGTTACATTGAATTCTTGGGAAGTTTTTTGTTTTGTTTTGGTACTTTGCTGGTTCTCTAATCTTTGATCACATCATACTTACCTGTCCTTATTTCCCTTTTTTTCATCTGTGCTTGTCTCCTTGATCTCATCTACATTCACAGCTTCATATCACATCTATGTGGACTCCTGTTGTACTATCCAGGCTTGATTATTCTGTTATGTGTAGGTCTGCATTTTAGCTATTTGTTGTACACAGAGTCCTCTGCTGTCAGTGACTATGTCCTGTTAATTTCTCTTTTCACATCCAGCTGCATTGATTGTTTACCATTGTTTATCATTACTGAATAGGCCTGAAATGTCCTCTCTCACCAAGTCCTAACCTACACTCTAGAAAGTTCAGGTGTGACTGAACTTCATACTTATTTTAAATGAGAATCTTAAATGGTTCTTAAAGACCACATTGACAAGTGGCACATTTAATTATAATGGCTTGCCACATCTGTGTCTAGAGTCTACAGCAGCATTGTCCAATAGAAACAAGATGTAAACCACGTATGTAATTTAAAATTTTGCAGTTTGGCTCCAGTTCAACCTTCCATCCTTACCTTTCATTCATATATACATATATACATTCATATATCTGTAAACTGCTTGCCATGTCTATCTTTGGCTCACTTTTCATTCTACACCCCCAAGCCAACCCTCAAACAAAACTCCACTCCAGCCAAAATAGTAAAAGTCTTCTTGCTGTAGGTACTTTAAAACTATCAACAAAATATCTCTCGGGAATATACACAGTAAGGAGAACATCAAGATAAAGCTCCTGCCTTTGCCTTTCTGGAAATAGGGCTACTAGGTAATTTTTCTTCCTTGTGCTATGGGCTTATTGTAACATGGCTATATGAGTCAAAAACCAAAATTTACCAACCTCTGCTTACGTAATTTTCGGAGCAAAACCATGGTTTTAAAACATCTGGCCACGTTTGGAAATCGGATGTTTTGGGGCACCTGAGTGGCGCAGTGGGTTGAGCGACTCTTGGTTTTGGCTCAATTTGGGGTTGTGGAATCGAGCCCTGTGTCAGGGTCTGTGCTCAGTGGGGAGTCTGCTTGAATTTCTCTCCCTCTGCTCCTCCTCATCACCCCCCTCTCAGTCACTCTCTCAAATATTTTTAAGAAGTCTGATGTTTCAGGGCACCTGGGTGGCTCAGTTGTTTAGAGCCTCTGCCTTTGGCGCAGGTTATGATCCCAGGGTTCTGGGATCGAGTCTCACATCGGGCTCTCAGCTCAGCGGGGTTCCTGCTTCCTTCTCTCTCTTTCTCGGCCTGCCTCTCTGCCTACTTGTGATCTCTGTCAAATAAATAAAATCTTTCTAAAAAAATAAAAAATCAAAAGTGTGATGTTTCAATGCTTTGTAATTACAAGAAGAATACTCAGGATCTTATAAATTATATTCATTATTGCTGGTATTCTTCAAATTCATTGTTAACTATGTATGTATTGCGATTTCCCATCCTCCACCGTGATCAATAACAGTTTAATATGCTGCTTTATAATGGGAAAAAACAAAGTCATGAAATTTGACAGGGCTGAATATATTAAACAGGATTAAACCAAATTAAGAATAATACACAATGTGCTATCAATCTTTGAAAACTCAAGACATGAAAAGGATTACTTATATTTAGATAGGGGTATTTCCTAGAGATTTCTTCTTAGCCCCCAAAAATAAAGTAAGCTAATCTATTTTATTTTTTTTTTNTTTTTTTTTTGACTGGAAATAGAATAGAACTGCTCTCTGAACATATGGGACTGAGTTCTTAATTACATTGAATAAATAAGGCTATGTCTCAGACTTCACACAGTTGAGTAGTATATGCCATATGATTTTCTGATAGTGTTTAAAATTCAAATTGTTTTATTAAAGTCCTGTTTATGTAAAACCTGTAAGTTTAAAGAAACCTAAATTTAAATGGTAACTGCCTTGGAATACAGGGGATATTTTTCAATAAATTTTTTTTAATATTTTATTTATTTATTTGACAAGCAGAGATCACAAGTAGGCAGAGAGAGAGGGGGAAGCAGGCTCCCCGCTGAGTAGAGAGCCTGATGCAGGGCTCAATCCCAGGACCCTGGGATCATGATCTGAGCTGAAGGCAGAGGCTTTAACCCACTGAGCCACCCAGGCGCCCCTCCAATAAAAATTTTAAAATAACTCCCCGCTGAGCAAGGACCCTGATGTGGGGCTCTATCTCAGGACCCTGGGATCATGACCTGAGCCAAAGACAGATGTTTAACCAACTGAACCACCCAGGTGCCCCTGTGTCATTTCTCCTTCCTTCCTTCCTTTCTTTCTTTTTTTTTTTTTTTTTTTTTTGGGAAGAACATTTTAAGTAATCTGTGCCCAACGTGGGGCTCAAACTTAACAACTCAAGATCATGAGTTGCATGCTCTATTGTCTGAACCAGCCAGGCACTCCAAGTTTATTTTTTTAGAGCTAGTATCAGGTTACTAAAATAGGCTTTTTTTTTTTTAGGGAAGATAAAAATTGATTTTTAATTCTTTAGTAGCAACCTTCCTAGATTTATTTATTTTTATTTTTTTTTTAAAGATTTTATTATTTATTTGACAGAGAGAGAGATCACAAGTAGGCAGAGAGGCAGGCAGAGAGAGAGGAGGAAGCAGGCTCCCTCCAGAGCAGAGAGCCCGATGTGGGGCTCGATCCCGGGACCCTGGGATCATGACCTGAGCCAAAGGCAGAGGCTTTAACCCACTGAGCCACCCAGGCGCCCCAAAGCTTTCTATTTTTTAAAAAGATTTTATTTATTTATTTTAGAGAGCGTGCAAGCACAAGTTGGGGGATGGGCAGATGGAGGAGAGAATCTCAAGCAAACTCCCCACCAAGTGCAGAGCCCCATGTGGGGCTCGATCTCATGACCCTGAGATCATGACTTGAAATTAAATCGAGAGTCAGACGCTTAATCGACAGAGCCACCCAGGGGCCCCAACTCTTCTTATTTATTGAAAAGATTTCACGCACCTGTAAGAATGGCTTCAGTGAAGCCATCAGACAATATTAAGTGCTGGGGAGGATGCTGAGCAGCTCCCACAATCACATATTCTGCTAGTAGAAGTGCAACTGTAACTAGGACAATGCCTTTGCAAGCCTATCTGGCAGTATCTACCAGAAGTAAACATGCACCTACCCCAGGACCCAACACTGCTCCCCATGTATTAACGCAACAGAAATGCACAGACAGGCACACCTTGCTTTCATTATCATCCACTTCACTGAATTTGCAGATACTGCGTTTTTGTTTTGTTTTATAAATTGAAGGTTTGTAGCAACCCTGCATCAAGCTAGTCTAACAACTCCATTTTTCCAACAGCATTTACTCATTTTGTGTCTCTGAGTCACATTCTTGCAATATTTTAACCTTTATCGTTATTATTATATTTGTTATGGTGATCTGTCATCAGTGTTCATGACTTGCTAAAAGTTCAGATGACGATTAGCATTTTTTTGGGGAGAGAAAGTATGAGTGACGGTGGGAGAGGGGCAGAGAGAGAATATTAAGCAAGCTTGGAGCCTAACGCTGGGCTCAATCTCAGGACCCCGAGATCATGACCTGAGCTGAAGGCAGAGGCTTAACCCACTGACCCGCCCAGGCGTCTCCCAATGGTTAGCATTTTTTAACAATATGTTTTAATTAAGGTGTATACACTGTTTTTTTTAGATTTAATGGTATTATACACTTACTAGGCTATAGCATAGTATAAACATAACTTTTACATGCAATGGGAAACAAAAAATTCATTTGACTTCCTTTATTGCAATACTTGTTTTTACTCTGGTGCTCTGAAACCTAACCCACACTGTCTCCAAGGTATGCCTAGATGGGTTTGCCCAAGACATATACATAGGGGCACTATTTATATAGCCCCAAACTGGAAACCTCCCCGATGCCCATCCCAAGAGAATGGATAAACTGGTCTAGACCAATGAAAGACCACACAACACAAAGAATGGAACACAGCTACATGCAAAGACATGGCGTTCAGTGAAGAAAGCCAGACGTTAGAACGTAGTCTGTATGAAGTTCAAGAACAGCCAAAACTAATCTATGGTGTAAGAAGTTGGGATAGGTTACCCTTGGAAGAAATGAGTGACAAGAGTACTGCTAGGCTGGTAAGGTTGCTCCTTGACCTGGACACTAGTTACATGAACGTGTTCATTTGTGAAAATTCACAGACCCGTACAGTTACGATATTTTTATTTTGTATTGCCAAAGAGAGGAAAGAAACAAAGGCAAGAGAAGCAGAATATTAGCGTATGTTTGATTTTGACAGTGAATCCATGTTACTTTTCTTCTCCACTTTTATATTAGTCACAATGCTCTATCACTTAAAATAAGTGCATCACTTAAAAATTAAAAGCACATAGGCATTTCTAATATTCTTTCTTAAGCACTGAAAAGTGCCCCCTTTCCACTGTCCTGTGGGGCTGTTATTTCTGGAGACCCCCATTTGGCCAACTCACCGGAGTAGCTGCTTTTGGGGGCTTTTCTCTCAAGCACCAATGGTTCTTTTCCATTCTCCAAATTGTAGTTCTCAGGTTTAGAAACTGGAAGCCCTGCTCGTTTAAAAAAGAAAGAACAAAAAAGAAACAGGACTTAACTATCTGTGATGGGCACAAAGACCTATTCTATAACATAGACCCAACCCTATGATCTACAAAGACAGGGTATTATAGGAAGATCAGGAATGAGGGAGGGTGAGCTTCTGAATGCCGCTTAAAGTATTTGAAGCAAGAATCTGGTCTGGGAAGGAGCTTATATGCATTGGAAAAGGCAAATGTTTTTGGCTGTCAATAAGAAGAGAACTTCTAGGGTACCTGGCTGGCTCAGTCCACAGAGCATGGGACCCTTGATCTCAGGGTCATGAGTTCAAGCCTCACACTGGGCAGAGAACTTACGTTAAAAGACAGAGACAAGAGAATTTCTCTTTATTTCTCTATTGAGGAATTTTCTCTTTCAGGGAGACACTACAGGTGAGTCCTTTAGCTTTGGGAAGAAATGAAGAAAGCAGACCTCAGTGGCTAAAAGTTGTGACCATGGTGACCAGAGTTTTTGTCTTCTTTCTAAAGGTTTTTCTCTTTCTTCCCTCTTCAGTTACCAGAACCCACTTTCTTAGGGATTTATTACATAAGCACAAAACAAATTCAAGGCCAAAAGCATTCAATTGGAAAACGATGGCAACAAATTACGGGTTCAGATGTAACTTACAATGTATATGTGTAAATATCACTGGGAAGAGTTAACATAGTTTCTTCTACCCCATTTGAAAACATATACAGGCACATATTATGCACATGCACACCCCCCCACCCCAGAGAGGTGAACACAAGATCCATACTGGCTGGAGAGTACTCTAACTGGAAGAATCATGCAACCTTGGAGCTGCCAATGGCCATCTCTGCCACAAGGGGAGATCCTAAGAATAAAGCTAAGACAGGGCAATGCCAAGCCACATGTTTAAAAAAATTAAGAAAATTTCTGTCAGTATACAGGATTCCCTGAATCAGTATTTTTATCCCCTTTAAGCCAGTGTGAATTAGGTTTCTAACATTCAAAAAAGAATTTTGACACAAAACCAGCATAGACATTTCACCAAGAAACTAGAACAGAAATAGATTTTTCTTTGGGTCCAAAGGGAGCAATACTTTATGATTTCTGAATGCAAAGGTAAAGGCTTCGTTAAGCTATTTCACTTTCAGTAACGTAATGATGTCCCCATATGCAGATTCTAGAGTCACGATGAGAACCCATCCTTACAAAGCGAGACCAGGTTCTTATAGTTCTCCAGCATCACCTCCCTTTGTGCGGGATCCAGCTTCCCCCACTCCTCTGGGGTGAAGTCCATGGCCACGTCCTTGAACGTCACTGATGCCTACGACACAAACATACTTTTGTTCACCATCTCTCACTTAACAGACTCAATTTCAACCCCCAGTTTCCGCTGGCCCTCATGTAGATGTGTAAGCTATACAAAGGACAGGAAATGACAGTGATAAATGATAAGCATTCTTATGTACTCAGATTCGGAATACTCTAGGTATAAAGTCACTGGGTATCAGTCATGTGCCGGGCAGACTGTGGATTCAGTATGAGAACCCAAAGAGGTAAGACTACGGTTTCTCCATTGAGACTATCATTTTTCTAGGGAATACAGAGTTAAAACATGAATTAACGGGTCAACAGTGCAGGTTGGCAAAGTAAACAAAACCGGGCCTGAGGAAAAAGGCATGTCTGAGTCATTCTCCTTGTGAGTCCTCAAGAAAAACTTAAAGAATCAATCTAGCCAACCAGAAGATGAACTGAAACACAGAATTTGGAAATGTGAAATAGTCATGCAGTGAGAAGACTGACAGTCAAGCACGGAATTCAAAGGAAAAAGCATTAAACTAGAAACTAACAGGAACAAATTAATTGAAGATACAGATATAACTTATAAATGTTCCTGTGTAAATATCACAGGATCAAGTTTATATAACACAAAATATATAAAAGCTGTGATTAATTATCATAAGTGAGGTAAATGTTAACTTTTGGAGACTCTAACTGGAGAGTATATGAAAATTCTTTTTACTACTTACAACATTTATTTAAATCTAAAATTATTTCAAAATAAAGTTCCCAAAGTGCAAATAATCTGAAACTTAAATAAGAAGAATAAAAAATAAAACAAAACCAAGAATCATCCTTAGAAAATAAAATACAGGGGCCCCTGGGTGGCTCAGAGGGTTAAAGCCTCTGCCTTCAGCTCAGGTCATAATCCCAGAGTCCTGGGATCGAGCCCCACATCGGGCTCTCTCCTTGGCGGGGAGCCTGCTTCCTCCTCTCTCTCTCTGCCTGCCTCTCTGCCTGCTTGTGATCTCTGTCTGTTGAAAAAATAAATAAAATATTAAAAAAAAAAAAAGAAAAGAAAATACAATATAAAAATCATTAAGTAGCCACTGAGTAGATATTATAAGGAAAAAATGACCTTGTTCCTTAATCTGCATATCTATAGCTAAAATGACACATGATAGGAATTAATTTCCAAACCATTAAAAGAAAAAAAAAATGCAAGCTATTGCATGAAAGGCAGAAAATACAAAAGAAATAAAGTATAATAAACAATTATAAAAATCACATGGCAAGAAAAATCTGAAACATAAAATTAATATGACTTAGTTCATTTACCGCATAAAAAAGGTTTTAAAAAAAAAAAAAAAACAAAAAACCCACATCCTATTTACAGAAAGGACACTCAAACAAAAATCCCAAAGTTGGGGATGAGAGGGAAGTGGAAAGAGATATACACCAAACTGTCCTCCTCAGTAGGGAGAGGGGGAGGGCTGAATTTGGGGAGGCAAGTAATATTATGCTTATTATATATATCTGTGCTGTTCACCTGGTTACAGTGAGCAAGAATTAAAACTTTAATATTTAAAAAAAATCTAATATATTAAAGATAAAAAAAAACAACAACAACCAGCCCAGGCAAATTCCAGTAAGAAAGATAGTTGTTAGCATCAAACAAAATCTAATGCAACGCAAAAGACAGTTTTTTAAATTTATATAAAAGGTCAGTGGGTTGGGGCGCCTGGGTGGCTCAGTGGGTTAAGCCGCTGCCTTCGGCTCAGGTCATCATCTCAGAGTCCTGGGATCGAGCCCCGCATCGGGCTCTCTGCTCTCTCAGGGAGCCTGCTTCCTCCTCTCTCTCTCTCTGCCTGCCTCTCTGCCTGCTTGTGATCTCTCTGTCAAATAAATAAATAAAATCT